ATATTACCGTACAGATTTCTTCCTGAATATAGCATTTAATTGGCAAAGGACAACATCCGACGCTGTATTATTGCTACTATCAAGCATGACGACATATTGCAAGGTTTACATTGTCTAGTAAACGGCACTGTAACAGGATCTTGGAACTTCTGCAAGTTTCTGTATGTACACGAGAATTCATGTTCCTTCGTGATTTTTCTTGGAATCTGTGGATAGTGCTCAAGAAAGTCCAAAGCCAAATGTTTTCTTGATTTCAAAATGTTTGCCTGCCCGGGCTACCTGATATAATGTTGAATTACGTTTATGGCGAGGCAGGGAATATTTTGTCGAATGTGCAGACAATATGCCACTTAAGATCGCACTCGTATATTATTCTGGCATACAGCAAAATTTTATGGGCAATTTATTATTTAAGGATTATGAACCTACTGGGTGTCACTTATTTTATAACATCCCATGATGCGGAAAGTTATCGTATTTTTTTATTGGGTGTTTATGGGCATTCTTATTATATTTTGTATTTTGCAATTAAGCAACTCATGTTGTGAATTAGCAAGAACCCAGCATAACTTTACATTAAATATAACATATAGTATCCAATCTTGCCATGTCATAGTTTTATCCATCTGGAAATCTGGAAGATACATCTTAAATTTTGAAGGAACGGGGTACATAGACAAAACTCACGCGAATGGTTAAGGCCGGGAAAATTTCTTGACAGGCTAAGCGACTAATAGCTTCCCCATGGAATTAGTTAAGTTAGATGTATTGCTGCTGAAACGCATGGCATGTTCCCCTGGGTACAGGAATTATTCTTTAAACTAAGATGTAATGCTATTTGCAGAACTGGGCCAACTCAGATCACAAACCAAGAATAAAATATAGTTTCAAATAAGCAAAGCTGCGCCGCCGTGAGCAGAATTTATTGCAACAGAAATAGAACCAGTAGAGATATCATCACTTGCTAAATATATCACGAACTGAAAGCTTCCATTATTTTGTATAGATAAAACAACTGCCACTGCCAAATATTTACATTTTCAAGATGAAAAAGAAAAGAGTAATGGTTTTGCATGGTTTTGTAACACATTCTAACTTGTCACAAATTTACAAAAAGAGCTGTATCGTCTCAAGCAGCAGCGGTGGCGGCGGCGGCGGCGGCGGCGGCGGCGGCGACGACGACGACGACAGGTTCTGGGAACTCCGACATATTTTAATGTTTCATATAATTCACAAAATATTCTGGACACAATATTTTATGGCCTGCTAAGTTCGTATGTAACATTTAAATTTTATTTTTGAAAAACCCCTAAACGGCAAATCCCCACTAAAACCACATACATGGGGCAGATGTTAAATCTAGCAAGTAACGCCTTCCTGTGAGTATTCTATTAGCTTCTTGTAAACTACCGTGGACAAAACAAAGAACACATGAAGATATTCCTGGTACCCATTTCTGTTAGAGGCTGAGTCGACCCCAGGGCCATTGTGCGGCTGGAAGGATTAGGTCAATTGAAAAAAATCCATTGAACTAAATAATTTTCCTGGAGAGTAAAGCGCGGGGGGTGTGTAAGGCTGACAACCTTACGCCCATTTTCGAGCCGACTGATAATGTGGGACCCTCAACGTCTCACAACCCTATGGGCCTTCACGGCCTGAAGATATGAGATTCAGTGCGTACTGTCGCCAGTATGTACAACAGCAGAGATTGTAAATGCAATGCAGCATTATTGTTTTATATACTCATAGTTTCTGGAAGAAGTTTCAATTCTCATTTCCATTTCTTTTTAACTAAATGGGTAATTTTAACTTCTTCTGATCTTTATCCTTAAACATTATATTTAAACATTTATCTGAGGGAGAAACTATGGTCTATGTTTGGATATTATTCCTGAATTAGCTTAGGACAGGGTTTCCTCTTGTGATGCAGTCATTGTCTAGACACTGTGGCATCTAATGGCAGGCTGACTGATAACTGGGATCAAATTTGGAAGGAAACGGTAGTGACCTAGTCGAGGTACATCCCAGGTATTTGTTTAGAAAGACTGAGAAAACCCATGAAAAACTCAGCGAGGATAGCCGGTATCCCAGTTGTGATTCAAAGTGAGCACCTCCTTAATATTAATCTGGAGTGTTACTTCTAACCAAGCATGAATAGTAGCTTCCATTTTTAATGACACTTGAACTGAAAGCAGGAATGAAAACAGTAAAGAGCATTGCTCAGTAGGTGCAAAGTGTATAGGCTTATGTAGCACAAATTGCTGCCTTGGTCATAAAGATCATACTTCAGGTATGTAACAAGCAATATTTCTTATATATATATATATACATTACTCATATGAACAGGAAAATGTATGTCACTGCATATGCCTCAAATATAGGTCTCCAGGTTTGTAGTTCCATAATATAAATTCAAATCATGAACTTACACCCTTTTGGGCCAGGTCACATGTGCCAGTAACAGAATCAACGAATGCATTGTTACCTTTGGGCTATACCCAATTTTGTGGAAGCTTTCCATTTGCACTGAGTATCACATAGACTCTGTTAGAAATATCTTGACATTAGTGTCTTCAAACTTTTCTAATTACAACACAATCCAAGCAATCATGTTTCATCATAATATGTGAATAATATGATTAATTCCAATCTGCTTACTGCACTAAAATGTGTGACTTAAAATAGTTCACAAATTTCCTTTGCATTGAATAAGAATGCAGCAATGTAAACATCTTCTAACTTCAAATGAAACTTTTGTTACTGATTTGAAACACATGTTTTCCTTTCAGATTGTACACATACATTACTGAACTCCAGTCTTCCTGATGAAAAACACACTCTCTTGTAATCAGCTAGTCGCCACCCTGTAAAAGAAAAGAAACGAAGTAAACACACATCAACAACATCACAGGTTCCATTCACAGATGGGAGGGGAAAACAATCTGCATGTACAAAGTATAATCAAAAGGAACTGAAATTCTGGCGTAGAAGAGTGAAGGAGGTATGGGAGTAGAAGGAAGAACAAAGTGAAAACTTTACAAGGGGCAACCAGTTCTCAGAAAACCTGAGAACTTCATGATTGTAATTTAACACACACAATTATAAACACAGGACTGTCATTTTATTTCATACTTTTTAAGCTAAAATCATACCTGTGAGAAACTATACATACAGGAATACATAAAATGGGACTACACTGCAATAAAAAATATCACCACAAAGACTTCTTCAGATGATCTTTAACACAGAGTGCAATAAACAATATGCACTAATTCTTCTGACAATCATATTGGCTCTAATAAAAATTATGCCGGTCAACTAGAACACTGAAGAGTTTTTTCAGTCATAATGGTGTACAGTGTTACTTGTGATATACTTGTACTGGCAAACTATATTATGCATTAGACTTCATGTTCAGTCAATAAAGCACCTGCCTATGGAAGTAAAGTGATTCCCACTTGAAAGAGTCAAGGGCAATGCGAGTAAATAGATGGCCGCCCCATTCCTGGGTGTGGAAAGAGTCTATGATTTTCAGTAGTCCTTGCATCTGAGTAGAAAGTCCAAACAGTGAAATAATGATTTGTAAATGTTAGTTCCTATTTAATATGCGATCCATTTATTACTATGGAAACACACCACAAGTTCACGATAATTGTACTGCACCTGCAAAATGTCATATTGAATATTGCAGTCTACCTGGGTGTAAACAGATTCATAGGCCATGGACTATGGCCACCTCAGCAACACGTTATGATCTTGTATATGAATGAGCAAGCCACATGGGATCCATTTTCTCTTGCAGATAAACCTTATCACAGAACTACAGTCATGTTTAAATCCTAAAAGAAGAAGAAGAAGAAGAAAAAAAAAGAACTTGGACTGAAAATAACTACATTGAAAAACAGAAGTTGTGTAAAATATTTAACAGTAAGCATAATTACAGTTTTAAAAAATAATGGAAATTGTAAGGCCATCAAGAAAACTGTTCAAATTAATATGTTTAAAATTTACTGTTGTGAAATGTTAAAATAATGAGTAAGTAATTAATATCTTAGTAATTACAATGTATTTTAAAGTTGTTAATCAAGAGGGCCCGGATTTTGATGACATGTCATCTTTTTTCCTTGTATCCTATGTGATGCTCTTAAATATATAAATCTCGGATATGAGCTGCTGGTTACAGAAATGTAAATTTTAAAAGTAATTTTTTGTCATTTTTTGGTTTAAGATCATTTTTTAATTTGGGGGGTAATTTTTTGGTAAATTTTAGACTTTTAAGGGCATTTCTTGTCATTTTTGGCCATTTTAGGGAATTTTTCTTCATATGTTTTCTGAAATGTGAATAACATGGAAGCGAAGTGTTCTTTCTTTTCTCCTTTAGGTCATTTTTCTGGATGTTTTCGGTCATTTTTTTTAATATTTTCAGGCCATCAAAATCCGGGCCCTGTTAATCAATATTAATTTTCATACTGATATCAAACCAGATCACCTTACTACTGAGATAAACTTGACTGCAGCTAATACATGCAGTCCCAACAGTTTATCTGTGCAAATCATTTGTATCGAATGTGACCAGCACTTCGAGTTGAATTTAATCTTTTCAGTGAAGACTTAAAAAAAGTTATCTGTCTAAAACAAAAATATTAGACTCATAAAATGCAAAAATGAATAGCATTAAAGCTTACAGAACAAAATAATTCTAATCACCGAAAATTAAGGCCGTGAAGCTGGGGAATGCAAGTATCATGCAGCTATCATGTATGATACCTGAACTGGTCTGTGGAGTCCCAGATTTCATTCCAACATGACATAAATTCCTTCCTACATGGGTGACAGAGGTATTTGTAACAAAGAGGCCAGTTTATCCTGTTCAAATAAAAAATAGTGTGATGAAAGCATAATGGCCTAAGTAGACTATTATTTCCACAACAGTAACAATATAAGCTTGCGAAGTGAGAGATACGAATCTGTTTTAAGGGATCATCCGACAGAGTTTGTCATTTATGTACACTTCGGGCATTTCGGCATGCGAGGAATATACACCAGAATGCAATTTTATCATTTGTTTTTCAACTTTTTGTAGTAGCGAAAAGCACAATAACTCACAGAAATGACAAAAATTTCAATCCTGCTTTGGCTTCGCTGTGCACTAGGTTGTGCATACGAGAAAAATTTCTCAACTGTTTGTCATCTTGCGATCTTATGAGAGAAGTGTTAAAGAATGTGTACAGGAATAGTAAATATGAAGGATAAGACACACTTGGCACTTTTAAATTAATTTTTATGGCATTAGACCGTGGTCTCACTGCCATGTTTGCGATGTTTTCTGTGTGGCTTGTGTCCATGCTGTGACCTCTGCTGTGCCGAAGACGGGAGGTGAGGGGGAGTTGCATAATATTGAATGGGATGGCACTTCACTGGGGGCTGTTTGTAAGGACCCAATCGGTGGAACAGACGTCTCCAAGCTCGCAGTGTTTTAGGAGACCAAACCCATACTGCAGCCGTGACCCCAACGACAAGAGACATGAAAAGTCTCAACAAAAAAATCCACAAACTTGGCCGAGGTTGATAACGAGGCACTGATGAAACCATGAGCCATTCGTCACGCGACCAATACTCGTAAAAGAGGCTCGCTACCACACAGGTGGTGGGTACTGTGTACAGTACGCCGAACACTCCCAGGCGAACAGTAACCATCTCGAGTTTATCAGCTTTGGCGTCGCGTCGCGCAGCAGATGTGGCGACTTTTACAGCCCGAGGATGGCGGCGGAAGAGCGCCAGGAAACCGAGCAGAAGTAGCGAGGCGCCCAGCACCAGGTACAGGAACTGAGGTGCCAGGACGAATACAAGCAGTGACTTGGTGTCCTGGTTTCCCACGTAGCACGCACCTGCAACAGGGATCAGAAAGTAAATTATACTTTACATTTTGTATCCTTAAAAGCGACATCAGAATGAGGCAAATCAAGAAAAGAAAGATTAGTAGTGATTACTTCATGAAATAAAAATAGACCTTTTACTAATCTGCGCACAGAATTCATCGCAAAATGTTGCTTTAGAATAATGCCACTCTGTAGTATTCTGGACAAAAGAATATACACGTGTCAGCGCAAGGGTGCATGTGCGCTGATATATGAGTACCTCATAACCAGGGCCCGGATTTTGATGACATGTCATCTTTCTTTCCTTGAATCCTATTAGATGCCCGTAAATATATAAATCCCGGAGATAAGCCGCTGGTTACAGAAATGTAACTTTTATAGGTCCTTTTTTTTTTAATTTTTCGTCTTTTTAAAGTTTTTAAGTAATTTCTTGGTAAATTTTTGGACTTGTAAGGGTATTTTTTTGTAATTTTAGCCATTTTAGGGAAAATTTCCTCACATGTTTCAGAAATGTGATTAATATGCAATTAAAGTGCCCTTTCTCTTTCTCCTGCCTTTACAAAGGCAGCCTGCAGCTGCACCCCGAATACATGCTACTACAGTATGCAATAATAAGTTGTAATAATGCCCCGTCCTTTCCGTTCGTTTTGCGGAAAGTGCTGACATTACAGATCATAACACATTTTAAGCTGGCAGCAGGTTACGACAGCGGTCACTCACACTGCGGCCCTTTCAAAGTTCTATGTAAAGGAATTTCCTTAATTACAAATATTTCTAGTCGGAATCCCTCGTTTTTTATGACATATTGTTGCTCAATAAAACTTCGTATGTCTTCAGTTTCTCGCCCTTGACCGTACAGACAAAGATATAGTTGACGAAAGGTTCTCAGTGTGAAAAGTTCAGTTCTGTGTTGCACTAGAATGATTCATTTTATCAGGATGCCTAAAGCAAAGCCATCTAAATCGTGTCATTTAAATCCGATTGTAGCTGAATTTGGAGGTGATATATTTTCAACCGACGGTAACATTTTATACTGTAAGAAATGTGACACAAAATTAACAGCAGAAAAAATGTTTCACGGTACAGCAACATATCGGCCGCAACAAGCATATATGAATAGCGCAAATTTCGAACAAAAAGAAATCTGTGCAAATGTTACTGCAACAGTGTTAATCTGAAGGCGGAAATAAGTCATCGGATTTTTTTCGCAGATCTGTGTGATGCTCTGGTGTCCGCAAATATTCCGTTTTGGGCTCTGAAAAATGAAAAACTGGGAAAAAAAATCTGGAAGTGAATTGTGGTCGTATCCCGGATGAATCCACCCTCAGGAAGAACTACCTTTCCAAGTGCTACAACAATATCCCGGAAATGATTAGGAATAAAGTGCATGGGAAGATTTTCGTTTCCATTGATGAGACCTGCGATACGGAGACTCGCTACGTGGCAAACGTCATCATTGGAACCTTGGAAATTGGCGGACCAGGTGAAGTGTTTCTGCTTACGAGCGAGGTGCTAGAATCCGTTAATAATTCCGCATTTTGTAAACTCTTTGACAGGTCGATGATTCTACTGTGGCCAAAGGGTATACGACAAGACGTCGTCTTGCTTTTTGTGACCGATGCAGCTCCATATATTTTGAAAGCAGGGAAGTCAATAAAGTTGTTTCATACGAAATTGGTGTACGTTACTTGCCTATCTCATGCACTGCATAGAGAGACGGAGAAAGTGAGATTAAGATTTCCTCAAGTGGATGCTATCGTGTTGGGGACGAAGAAGATTTTCGTCAAGGCTCCATCTCGTAAAATGCAATTTAATGTTATGGCTCCTGGTGTTCCACTGCCCCCAGAACCCGTCATCACAAGGTGGGGAACGCGAATTGATGCTGCAATTTACTATAGCGATCATGTTCAGGTAGTGAAGAACACTGTAGATTCAATGAAGACGAAAGATGCGAGGGCAATTGAAGCTGCTCAGGAACTGTTCTCGTGCAGCGAAAGGGAAGGACAGCTGGCCTTCATAAAGGCAAATTTCAGTTCCTTGACGGAGGGAATCAAATGCTTACAGGAGAAAGGAGCAACGCTAGAAGATTCGCTCGCTCGCTTGCTTGCTCTGGTGAAAGAATAGCCTGCGATTTGGAGAAAATGTCAGGAGACATTGGTAAAATGGTGTCAAGAAAAATGAAACATGTTCTTGATAAAAACTCAGGTTATGAAACATTATGCAGCATTTCTCGAATTCTGACGGGAGAGTCCTTCAGCACTTTCAGTGTTGAAGAACTTACTGCTAGTGAATTGGTACACTTCAAATACGTTCCCATTGTGTCTGCAGATGTGGAAAGGAGTTTCTCCAAGTACACGTACAAGAATGAGGTGTCGGACAATAGGCGCTCACTCACCTTCGAGAATCACCGCATGTTGACTGTCATCTATTGCAACTCTGAATGAGGTGGCACTTAAATATTGGAATATATACCGTATATGTACATTTGATAAGCGTTCTAACGCGGTAGAAAAAAATCGTATTGAAACATTTAGCTTCAAATTCAATCACATATTGCTTAATTTTCAACATAAAAAGAGGACGAACTTAAAAGAGTAACGTTGAGTTCGCAGTGTTAATAAAGATTAAAAATACATTTTAAAACAATTAGACTTTCCACGACACGATACATTTTAGGTCGGGAATCAAACTTCTGGATTTTTCGGTCATTTTATGTCAGTTTTATGTATTTTCGGTCATTTTATAGGTCATATTTCTGGATTTCTTCGATCATTTTTAAAATATTTTTAGGTCATCAAAATCCGGGCCCTGCTCATAACCAATTTCCAAGTCCATTAATCAGTTACGCATCATGTTTCGATAACTTTAATTTAGATAATAATTTATAACGCACGATTCCGCGCGAAAGAAATTGGCTCATTAAAAATCTTCCTATAAATTAGCATATTCTCGGCCTTTGTCTTCTCACTGTTATGGAACTAATGCGCATGTTCAGCTAATATAAATCTGTCCCTGAGCCCGTGTGTCATCTACTCACAAAATGGCCTGAATATGCGTACTGGAGATTACAAACAGCTTTCAACCTTGACTGGCTAGCTGTTACTCATGTAATCACGTGAACTAAAGTACATGTATTTTCTTCCCGAATTTTATATAGGTAATACGATTATTATGACTGTTCATTTACATTTTAAGAATATAGATTACTAGTTAGAAAAGAAGCCTTCATTTTAGTTTTGGGTACTATCTAACAGAAATTGAAGTGGGATTGGCACTAAATATTCGTACTGCATGAAGTGTAATGAACAGTTAAATTTATTAAACGTACAGCATGCGTAGGTACCAAACTCCGATGTCCGTTCTTGAATAGGACGGCTATAACGACACGTACGAACAAAACAAACGGTAGTTACTAGCCCAACTCCAAAGAAATTATACAATTGAATGTTATTTCCATGCAAAGCCTGTTTCTGCAACCACAGTCAAGCTCCAGATGTCAAGAAGACTTCAGTGACGCCATTGTCTGTCAGCAAATTTTTCGTACTTCATTTTGACCTCGACTGCACCAGGCAGACTCGTGTGCTTAAAATACTATCTAGAGAATTCTACATTAACGTTCGAACTGTCTTTATAATAAGTACGTATTACGATTACTGTTGAAGAAGGCAAAAGAGTTAAAGTAGGTCTGTTGCCAGTGTATGAAAAGGAAACAAATCCATCTTCGTAAATGTGGCTGTGTCCATGCAAGAACTGTTACTATGAGGAACATAACAGATTAATCTGAATCAGTAGATATTAATATTATTAACTTCCTGTAGAGTTTACTCATTGTTGGTAATATCAGGTCCATTATTTTAGTCGGTATTACAGCATTACAATATTCAATTCAATTCAATTCAATTCATTATTATTTATGTGCCAAGTCAACAGCCGCAAGGCCAATTACAGACTTAGCACAGTGTAGATGAAAGTAATTACGTGTAACATTATACAAACATTAGTAAAACACATTATAAGTCAAAAATAAATTACAGGCAATTTCTTGGGTAAACACAATAATGAATAAAAGTAAACAAACAAGCAAATAAATGATAATAATAACAATAATAATAATTCCATTATCATAAAAATAAGTTATTTAGAAGTGAAAAAGAAGCATTAATATTTAATTAATAATAATAATAACGAAATTAATAAAAATAGTGATAATAATGGTGTGATAACAATCGAAGAGCCAGAAAATACAGACGTGAGTAAAAAACACCGGGTTTAATTAACAAGGGCCACAAGGTCCTACACTGGAGAGTTATCCCTTCCTGTATAACAAAAAAATATGAATCATTCTACTGTAATTCCATCAACTTCTCCCGTCACCTCGAGCATAACAAATTAAAAAATGAAAATAAAAAACCTGAAGACAAACATTCCATCAACTCCTTGCTAGGACATTCATCATTTAGTCACTTTCATTCAATCGCTTTTGTATACATATGAAAACTACGAAGTCAGAATGTACTGGTCGGCAAATACAAATACAAGTCTACCAAAATATTGAATGAATTGTTGAAATTCTGTCACCTATGCACATGTAAGGTGCTTCATATTGATTCTACTAACAATAAACCAATAGCGAAGTGACCCTGGGAGCCTATGCAAACATTTGCCAACTTTTCGAAGGAAATGGAAGCATGCATTCATTATCAAGAAGTTGTCATAACTCGTCAAGTTTGTGAGCAGTATTTGCTCCGGCTTCAGTTGCATGAATCAGCCTACCAGCTTCCTGCCTCTACATCCGACGTCCGTAGTGTATTTGAAGTTTAAATACACTGAAAAAACTTTGGATGTTTTCAACAGTTCTCTGGCCAGGCTTACTTTCATCTGGATGGACACATACACATGTTAACAAATGTAAGATTTGAGGCTTTCACGGCGGTGACTATGAAGAAAGCAGTCTTCTGGGATTTGGCACCGTGTATATGTGGTGTTAACCGACGTTTCGGAGGAGCTTA